CGGGGGTTATTAGGTTACATTAATGAATTATGTTTTTCTGCTATCAAATGTTGTATGTTACTTATGGTTTAAAGATAGGGTGTGAGTGAGAAGCGAGACTTTTAAAGTAAATTTAATCACTCGGTAATTTATGATTGACTGCTAAATGTATGAAATTGAAATAAATAAGGAAAAAATTTCAAGGGTAGAATTTCGAGTCGTTACAGATGACAGTCATTGGAAAAAGAAGCAGTAGATTGGAAGTTAGTGGGATAAAACATATGATCACAAATGTATTCTACATACTAGAGTTGAAAAACAATCTGCTTAGCATTGGGCAACTCCAAGAAAAAGGTCTAACTATCTTGATCCAGGGAGGAAAGTGTAAAATGTATCATCCGGAGAGAGACCTAATCATGGAGATAATAATGTCTATGAACTGAATGTTTGTGCTTCCAGCCACAATGTTGCCTAGTGACTCTACCTGTTTTCAAACTACTTTAGAAGATAAGTCATACTTATGGCACTGTAGGTATGGTCATATTAATTTCAAGAGCTTAAAATCTTTGCAACACAAGAAGATGGTGAAGGGATTACCTACTCTTGAGACTCCTAGCAAGCCATGTGTAGATTGCCTAGTGGGGAAGCAGCATCGAAACACTATTCCAAAGACAAGTTCATGGAGGGCTTGCAAAAGACTTCAACTGGTCCATGCAGACATTTGTGGGCCAATCAAACTAGATTCAAACTCTAAAAGGAGGTATGTGATTAGTTTCATTGATGATTTTAGTAGAAAAATTTGGATTTATTTTTGTGTGAAAAATCAGAAGCATTTGGGGTGTTCAAGAATTTTAAGCAGTATGTTGAAAAGCAATCTGGTGTTTTAATAAAATGTTTGCGCACATACAGGGGTGAGGAATTTACTTCTTTGGAGTTCAATAATTTTTGTAGAGAGAATGGAATTAAAAGGCATTGACAGTAGCGTATACCCCTCAACAAAATTCGGTAGTTGAGCGAAAGAATCGAGCTATAATGAATATGGTTCGAAGTATGTTGTCTGAAAAAGAGGTGCCTAAGGTGTTTTGGCCAGAAGTAGTAAATTAGAGTGTGCATGTGTTGAATAAAAGTCCAACAATTGCACTGAATGATGTCACCCCAGAAGAAGCATGGAGTGGTGTCAAACCTGCAGAAGACTATTTTCGAGTGTTTTGATGTGTTGCACATGTACACATTCCGGATAAGAAGAGAGTAAAATTAGATGATAAGAGCTTCCAATGTGTATTGTTGGGAGTGAGTGAAGAATCAAAGGCCAATAGACTTTATGATCTTGCATCTAAATACATTGTTGTTAGCTGGGATGTAGTATTCGAGTTGAAATTGGGGAAGAACTATAGAAGAAGTGAAGCTTGATGTTTTAGAATAGGGAGATGAAGATGAACAAAATAAATCTGATCAAGGAAATGAAGACGAGAATAGTGAGCATGATGGAGAAGGTGGAGTCACTTCATCTTCAAGTGGGTCTTTAGGTCAAAGTTCACCAAGCTTAGATGAAGGGAGAAGCAGAAGGCCTCCAGTTTGGATGGAAGATTATGTTAGTGGAAAGAGGTTAGATTTATCTAAAGAAGATGTGGACAATTTTGTCATGTTTGTTGTTGTTGATCCTGTTTCATTTCAAGAGGTTGTGAAAAGCATGAAGTGGAAAGAAGCTATGGATTTAGAAATAAGAGCAATTGAAAAAAATGAGACATGGGAGCTAACCACTCTACCTCATGGAGCTAAGAAAATTGGTGTGAAATGGGTGTTTAAAACAAAGCTTAACGAACATGGGGAAGTAGACAAATGCAAAGCACGACTTGTGGCTAAGAGATATGCACAAGAGCATGAAATTGATTATAATGTGGTGTTTGCCCTAGTTGCAAGATGTGGCACAATCGGGATGGTGATTGCCCTTGCAGCACAAAAGGGTTGGAATATTTTTCAACTAGATGTAAAGAGTGATTTCTTGTATGGTGAGTTGACAGAAGATGTTTTTGTGGAGCAGCCACAAGGTTATGAGAGGAAATGAGAAGAGTATAAAGTCTATAAGTTCAAGAAGACATTATATGGTCTTAAACAAGCTCCAAGGGCATGGTACAGCCGCATTGAATCATATTTTATGAAGCAAGGGTTTGAAAGATGTAGCTTTGAGCATACACTCTTTATTAAGTCTGAAATTGGAGGTAAACTTCTTGTTGTTAGTTTATATGTTGAACCTTATATTCACTAGCAATGATTTGGAGATGTTTGATAATTTTAAAAGGTCTATGATGCTGGAATTTGATGAGTGATTTTGGCAGAATGAAGTACTTTCTAGGAGTTGAAGTCTTACAAAATGAAGATGGGATCTACATTAGCCAAAAGAAATATGCTCATGATGTGCTAGATAGATTTGGAATGGGAAATAACAATCTAGTCAATAATCCCATTGTATAGGTTCTAAATTGGTGAAAGATGAGATGAGAGTTAAGATTGATGATACTGCCTTCAAGCAAATGGTTGGAAGTATTAAGTATTTAACTATGACAAGGCCTGATATGATGTTTGTTGTTAGTTTGATCAGCAGATTTATGGAAAGTCCCACTAAATTACACTAGCAAGCTGCAAAAAGAGTTCTCAGATATGTGAAAGGCACTGTGAATTTGAGAAGTTTGTATAAGAGGGATGGAAATGAGAATTTGCTTTGTTACACTGATAGTGATTATGTAGGTAATTTAGATGATAAGAAAATCACTTTTGGATATGTGTTTTTGTTGGGCAGTGGAGTTGTAGCATGGTCTTCAAAGAAACAACCAATTGTAACCCTATCCACTATTGAGGCAAAGTTTGTAGCTGCTACCTCATGTGCTTGCCAAAAAATTTTGATGAGAAGAGTATTAGAGTGGATTGGTCATGTTCAAGAAAGAAACACCAAAGTGTTTTGTGACAATAACAAAACCATTAAGCTGTCAAAGAATCTTGTGCTGCATGGGAGGAGTAAACATATTGATGTAAGATTCAATTTCCTCTGAGACCTTAAAAGAGATAGTCTGGTTGAACTTATTCACTGTTTTTCTGAAAATCAAGTTGCAGATATTATGATCAAACCTTTAAAGCTTGATTTATTCTTGAAGCTCAGAAAACAACTTGGTGTTTGTATGATACCAGAAGTAAACTGTTTGCAGACTATAAATCAGTTTAAGGGAGGAAATTGTTGAATTAGTCAATAAATGAGTGTTTTATTAGGGTCTGTTTTATTTTGATTATGTTAATAAATCCTATTTATTAGTATATTGCAGTTTCTTTTTCAAGTTAGTTACATTACAGGAGTGGAAGATGTAAGGATTATTCTCTTATATTGTTTATGTAAGGCTATATAAGCTAGTACTTTGTTTTTTAATAATGTTTTTGTAGAACTTCAATCCTAGTTTTCTGTTCTTAATATTCAACAAATAAATTATAATCAACAAAATATAGGCAGGTGTTGCATTTGTTAATTATGCCCATCAATAGCCAAACATTGGTAATATTTTGGGTCATCAATATTCAAAATCACTCCGTTTTTTCAATTCTAAATCATGTTAGAAATTTAATACAGAGAAAGAGCTTAGTAAGAAGATTTCAGCATGCCTTAGTTGAGTAAGGATGTTCTTCAATAATGAAAAGGTAAATGTCACACAATAACAAAAAAATACAACATGCAATGATATTTTTATTCTTATATTTACTATAAAATCATATTTTTATCATTAAAAACATGTTGGAAAAAAACACTATTTGTCTCTCTATTAATTGAGAGGATCTTTGTTCGCCTGAGATATAGTAAATTCTAATGTTATTTGTCTTCAATTAGGTATCCACTGACTTTAGTAAAAATCACAGTAGAACCCTATTCATTGAAATGTTAACTCTAAAAGAAAGGTTACCTAGATCAATTCAGATTCATTCATGATGCACGATAAACCTTTTAAAAACAAAAGGATAAGGTTATTGATTTCCTAGATGAATGCCAACATTGTTAGATCTTCCATGACAATGCCAACACTAATCAACACTCAGTTGGCCACTTGGACTGAGACCCACATTCGGGCAGACAAGATCTGGTCTATACGGCTATTGATTGTTCGGAAAGTCATCATAGTTAAGTGAAAGGATGACAACAAGAGGACATGGCAAAGTCAGCACCCGCTACGTCGAAAAATCTTTCCTTCACGTAAAAGGCAAGGCTACGCCACCCATGGACATGACAATGAGCATAAGTTAACATTGCCCACACGACTGAGATAGTCCAACTTCACAATACTATAAGTCGTCTAATATTTTGCAAAGGACGAGGTCATATCATCTGTAATATGATGAGGGACATTCCATGGAGTGCGGCCCAATACACCCCATAGTATAAGTAGGTGAAGCCACCCATAAGAAGTTGACATGCATTCTCACTATATTTTCTATTTCTAAACATACACCTATAAATATTGACTTGTGCATCTATTCTTAGGTACCCACCCAAGACGATCCAAAGTCAACAACTGTCCAATTCAACAAGGCAACTCAGATTCTCACCACCCTCCTCCAAAACAACTTTAGGCAACCTGCCATACAAGTTGGATTTTCCATTAACTAAGAATGGATGGAATGTTCTATTCCCCATTACCTCCTTGCATATACTTTTCTCTATTTAATTTTCTACTCATCATCATCCACTCCCCAACCAACTTATCAAATTTCTAGCAAAAAATAATTATGTTTTTTTGACTTTTCAAGGAAGAAAAACACAATTGAATCTGAAGATTCCATCATTCTTAATCAATGTCAACATCATACTTTGCCCTGCCCCCTATTTTCTTTATTTTTTAATGGAATATGGCATAAGAATTTTAATTTCCTTTCTTTCTTAAATATAGAGTCAAAAGGTTGGTTACTTAAATTGCCATCACTAAAGAAATCTAAAATAAAATAAAGGTGTAATGGAAATTTGATGAATGGTAGGTGTGTTACCTCAGCAATGTATAAGCTGTTGCTTGTAGATTGAAACCTCTCCTTAGGCTGAAAGGTGGTTTTCTATGTCCTTTTCTTTCTTTCTTTCTTACTTTAAATGGATGTGATGTTCTCAAATGTTTAAGTCAGGCAACCATTTGTTGCAAATATCTTGAACAAATATCACCTAGGAGTTCTTAAAGTTAATTTAAGTTGAGAGAAAAACATAAATACACTTATTCCACTATTGTATTTTTTGTTGATTTCTTTCCCATGTAATAAAGATAAAGTATATCAAATCAGCTTGAGTTTAAACTATATATGGATAAAGTTAATTGTAGGTGACCACTATGGCCAACTTGCAATTGAGTCAGCAGTCCACTTGCAACAATTGGGAAAAATGAATGGGTAAATGCCGCACACTGTTTTTATGGTCAAATTTTGAATAAAAAATTTAGGGTCAAATTTTGGACCCCATAGCTTTTAAAAAAACCTAACACCATCCCTCAATTTTCCCACCTTCATATTCTTTCGAATCTTCTCTTTCCCTTAATTTCACTATTTTTCTTCATCAAACCACTAACCTCATAACCAATGTTTCACTTCGGACAAACTAGTGTTTGGAATGATTTTTTCACTTCCAAGTAACCACTATCAGAAAGGTTTTACACTTTTGACTAACCAAGGTTAAAGGTTTTTTCACTTTTGGACTAACCAATAAAAAATGGTTAATAAAAGTGTAATTAAAAAGTAAAATATAAATGTTTATTAGGTTTCAAAAATATCAAAACATCTGGACTAAAATAAAACGATTAAAACATAAAAAAATATTAAACGATTGGAACAACAAAAATTTTAAAATTTTCAATAAAATATCATTTCCTCATTGTTGGAAATGATTTTTTTTTTTCGTTTTTAAAATTTATGAAATGAAAACAATAATGCAAACATGTTTTCATCCTCCTTTTGTGTTTTCATTGAAAACGAAAACATAAAATAACTAAAGCAAACATACCCTAAATAATTGTACCCCATAATTATAAACACCAATTGAAAATTGTCTTAATTGTACCCCATAATTTTGTAAAAAATTATATATTACAACATTAGTTCGTTTGAATATCAATTTTTTTAAAAATAATTTAGGGGATCATATATTGTAAGAATCATATTTTTAAAGTATGGGATCCAACTTAGAGCTTATGACAATTGGAATAGAGATTATGTGTCATATTTTCTATCGTCATTTGTGTCTCAGTCGAATTATAAAAAGTGAAACTTAATTAAAAATATAAGTTATAAAAATAAAAATAAAAATATTTTTATATTATTTAGTAGAATTGATTAGTTAGAGACATAATTTTTTTGTTATAGATGATTTCATACACTGACCCATGTATGGGCATGAATGGATTATATTGATTTGCAAAAATGATGCTTAAGTTTTCTGTGGATTTTGTGTGTTGGTTTGTTGCCGCATGTTGGTATTTGTGGTATGCACGTAAAATGTTACTGCTCCAAAATAAAAGGAAGATCACGCAGCAAGTAGCTTTTTATTTCAACGCGTTTTGGTCTCTTCTACAATAGACAAACACCAAGGATGCAGCAATGCTGAGTCTTATAAGTAGAAATAATGAGTGTATAATTGTTGTTGGAAGTATATTTTTTTTAAAGACATATTACAAGTGTCAGAATGTATAATTTTATTTAAAAAATTATATATTCCAGCAAACTAGTATTATATAATTTCACTAAACTAATTTTGTTGAATGTATTCTTCCATATTTTCATTCTTTCTACCTCAAACTCTCTTAATGAGTCTCAATTAGTTAAACAAGATTTGGGAATACATAATTTTTAATTCTTGATTTACGAGATATCCTTCTCATGGAATACATAACTATTATTTTTTTTTGCATTCAACATCTGTGTGGGAGGGGACTACATCTTATGTCACAAAAAATGTATTACTTCAGGAATTATTCACATGTGATTAATTGAAAAATATATTTATGTTAAAATTTAATAATTAAATATTTTTTAACCAATCATAAGTAGTGACATACTTGTTGGACAGAAGATGTCATTCCCTGTGGGAGTGTATTATTTAAAAAAATTAATTTCCACACTGGTTTGTGGAAATGAAGATTTTTAATTGGGGGAATGAATTGTTTCATTCATCTATTCAGAAGTTACCATACCTTCTTGAGTGAATATAAAGGTAAGAACAGTCTCAATGTAGATGGTGAAATGAGAAAGAATAGAGAAATGGACGGAAATGAGAGAGAAATGCATTATTAGAAAGAGAAAAAGATCACTAAGTTTTATAACTATTATCCACCATTTATATTGATATATAATGATATATTAAGTATGTATAAATTTTTATCCTCTATTAGAAATGAGAAAAATCATTCTGATACAAAACTAAAAGATATAATTCTCTGTTTCTTCTAAGACTCTATAATATTGAGAACCTGACTCATATAGGAAGACAATTTACAATTTGAAACTCAACTGTAGCATAATAGAACCTACAAAATTAAACAAAAGCTATAAAAAAATTAGAAATTATATTAAGGATGCCATAATACTGCTTAAATAAGCACAAAAGTCCTACAAACTAAATATTACAAAATGATTGTAATAAATAAATAACTTACCTGCATACCTCAATAGAGAGAATCGAGAAGGATGATTCAGCTGGGAACTATCATCATCAATATATATTTGGATGGCCACAATACTACTTAAATCAGCACAAGAGTCCCACAAATTAAATACCATAAGATGATTGCACCAATAAAAATGAATAAACAAATATAATAACGCAACTTGAAAAGTGATAGCTTGACACCAAGCTAAAGAATCAAGAGGGTGCTGATTTAGTTGGACAATATTTAATCATCCACATATATATGTTGGGTGGTGACTCAAAGTATAATCCTTGAACAATCCAAGAATATTGTTGTTACTTTAGGAACACTAGTCACAATTTGAAGGAAACATATACTTTGCTTCAAAGCACAAACAAATAAAATATACTTTCCCTTCCAAGCACTCACACACACACATGCAACTTTAAGAATTCTCTCATGTAGAAGAGGAAGCCCCATCGAACACAAACAAAAATAACATATTATATACTTTCATCATTTTATTCAAAATAAAATAAATTTTTTATTGTAAAGTTAAAAAAAAGGTCCCCTCTAATACAAGTAATTCTTATTTGCCTCTTTCTTACCAACAAAGATATGATATTTCATATATTGTCTCATAACTGTTTTTTAGAATGAAGGAAACATATAATATCAATTATTATTATTATTATTTTGAGTTCACAAATCTTTTTTGCTTGAGTAGGATGGAGAGGCAAATAACACAAAAGTATAAAGGGAAAGTAATATGAGAAGACATTTTTATCCTTTTGTAAATAATGAAATAACAATTTTGTTATTAAAAATACAAAGAAAATGTTGTAGTTGTAACGGAGAGGATCCTACTCCTTTTCCTTTGTCATAAACTCAAATAATATAACCCAATCTCCAATCAAACCCATGCATCTGTTTGCTTCCACAATGATATAAGCCAATCTAATGTCCAAAAATCAAAACCATCCAATAGACATTTATCATCAACCCATCACCATCCCATACCTGCTATGTAAGCCAAAGCAACCAACAACAAATCACCCTCTCTCTTTCTCTTTCACACATTTAAAAAAAAATCATGTTTTTTAATTTCAGGAAAGAGTAAAAGCAAGTCTGAAATCCTTGCGTGCCCAAAACATTTGAAAGAAATTGCAAAGTAATCAAAACTTGTTGAATGTTTTCCACATTTCTTTGTTAACTGAAATAAACAAAGAAAAATAGCATTAGTTCAGTTTTAGTGAAAATCAGAGAGAATCTTTGATATCTTATGAGGAATAGAGTGAAGAAGATTGAAGAAAAGAATCAGCAACCTGGGAAAGCACGGAGAATTGTTTTTAGAGGGAATATTAGATTGCATCCATGAAATTACAACAGTACTTACTTTTTCTAATAGGATGAGCGATTCTGCATACAGAGTTGAAACCACTTCACGCCTTGCTCAATGGAAAATCGAAAACTTGTCTTCTTGTACTTACCGCAAATCCGATCCTTTCAAAATCGGAAAATGGAATTGGTAAATATTTCTCTCTTTCATTCTACCCTATAAAAGTAATGATAATACAGTGTTTTAAGTTGTGGCTGCCGGTGGCAATTGTTGTAGCTGCGGACCCCGAAACTGCAACTGCAACATTGCCATGGTGTTGTCGTTGTGGAGTGCAATTTGACAGATGATCAATTTTTAGATAGTTATGTTTGGAGTTGTTTAGGTTGACATGGCTAATTAGATTTGAATATGTGATCAATGTATTTTGTATAACAGAAAGTTTGGGTTTTTATGACTAATCTGGAGAACCTTTTTTGTATATTGTGAAATTTGATTATTGATGTAAAATTGATGATTTTTCTTTATTGGTTTGGTTTGTAATGAAGGCATTTGTCAGTGGAGAAGAACAGGGTTTTGTATGTTAAATTATACCCAGAAATATCAAATTTAACAAGAGACAATCCTCCAATTGCATCTTTCATCATTCGGGTGGTTAGTTCTGTTGGAGATCGTAAGGCCCTCGCACATCCAGGTGGTGGAAGTTTGTTTTAATTTTTATGTGATTTTTTGCATCTTCAGAATTTCTTGGTGATATTTTGTTGCGAGGTTTATTTTTTTGTAGCAATAAGAACAGATTTTCATGTCGACTGATTATTCTTTTTAATATTATGCAGAAATAAAGGAAAAGTTACTAAAGAACAACGAGGATTTTGTTTGGGCAGTTGAGGTTCCTCTAACTGGAAAATTCATTATTGAAGTTGAGTTCCTTGATTTGAAGACCACATCCCCCAACGTAAGTATTACATACATATTTCTTTATCTGCCATTGAAAATATTAAATTATGAGACTTTGGAATGTGAATACCTAGATACAATTAATTGAGGGTACTAATTGGATTTTTGTAATCCAATGTTGTTGTCATGCGCACTTAATTAATCCCTTTGTTCAATCTTATGGTGGTTAATCACCTGAGAATGGTAAGGGTAAGGATCGAAAGCTTAAGGAGTGGAGTGACAAGGAGGTTGAGGGTTCAAATCTCACTCACCACAA